AGAGAGAGAGAGAGAGAGAGAGAGAGAGAGAGAGAAGAAAACTAGGACCAGTGTCCCAGAGTCCCTTGATAGAAAATGATCACAATGACTTGGACCCTCCCACTAGGCCCCATCCTCAAAAGGGTCTGCCAACTCTCCAACAAGTACCACAGACTGTACCCCAAGATCTCAGCATGTAAGCCCTGGGGATGTTTAAAATCCAAACTGTTGTAGAGTAGTATTAGAAATCTATAAGCATGCTGTCTGTGAAAATAGGCTGAGACATATAAAGGAATTAAATAGAGGAATCCTTGGCGTTTTGTCTCTTCAACAGAATTCTATCTCTGAGGAAGTAGTGAACATAATGTAAGAGGGTGTAGTGAAGATTTAGTCACCTTCCCTCTCTATGCCTCAACCACTGCGATTCCTTCCCAGGCAGTAATTACTGCTACCAGGTGGCATGACTCTTCCATAGTTGTCCTGCTGAGCACCACCAAGCTTCCACGAATGTCAGCAAGCACATACAGCACCTCTCTGTGTGCTGAGCTTTATGTTTTACTTGACACTGCCTCTGAGAGACCAACCGCTATCCAAATAGTTCACAAATTTGCAGAGGATTCCACTGAGTGGATGGTTCACTGGCCACCTGCTCATCTCTTTTGAAAGTATCTGTGCACATGTGTCATGGCTGTTCTGTTGCATGTATGTACTCTTTATGAACAGCATTACTGTAAGCAGAATCCTAGGCATATGGACATCCTGCCTTAAAGGACATTGGAATTATAACTTGGATGTTAAGTATTTCTCAAAAGAGGTTCATGGCTTAAAGGCTTGACCCACACCTGGTACTGTTATAGTAATGGTGTGTTTCAGGGTCCAAATGGTCTGGAGCTTTTTTCTCAGGCACAAGTCCTGGCTGAAATATGGCTATGGGATTGTGGAAAGCTAAAGCCATGAAATAATGGTGAAGGAGGAATATTCTATGATATTCTATGAAACAAGATCACAGAGACAGGGAAGTATAGAAAGAGCTCAGATAAAGTTGTCAGAAAGACTGCTTCAGCACTACTTGGAGGACTAGCTTGAGTCACTAGCTAAATGGTATGTAAACAGCAGTGCAAAAAAGAAAAACTACTCATTCCTAAAGTACCCAGAGTCCTGGGTCTCTGTATCCCACTGACTTTCTTTCCAGGTTCCTGCACTGCCCACAGCTTCGCTGGCTGCAGCAGAGGTGGTATAAGGAGAGCTATCATATTTTCCTATCATGAGCAGACAACTTATCAACAGATTAATCCACAAACAAGTTCAAAGCTCATGGACTCTTAAGAGCTCAGCTTGGGAGTTAGAGGACTTGGGTCCCAGCAGACAGCCTTTGAAGTCAGAGCTTGCCCCTCTCCACCCCTTCTTCCTCTCTCTTCTCCTTCTCCTCCTCCTTCTCTTTCTCCTGCTCCTGCTCCCTTCAGAGTTCTCTAGCAAAGATTAGCCACTTTGCTACATAATACCCCAGGCTCAGAATCAATGGAAGTAGACAACCATGGAGGGAAAACTGAGCCATGAGCAAAATTAACCCTTTTCTCCTCTGGGTTGCTTTTCTTGGGGAAATTTTCATCATGATGAAAAACTAACACACACACACACTTATAAATACATATATAAGTCTGTGTATGATCTTACATGTTGTGTTTAATATAGTGTTGTATAGATGTCTTGCCAGTTTCCATGAGGAATTGATCATAGAAAGCAATCAAATGATGAAACATATGGCCTCACATCCTTACCTAAAATTGCCTCAGACTTGAATATGACCTATGCCAACTGCTTACATATTTTAAACCTTTCTAAATTGCTTATAGTAGGTAGCAAAATGCACACACTCCATAAAGAGCTGACATACTATTTTATTTGAGGAATCTGAAGAAGAAACTGGTCTTTATGGGTTCAATATAGGTGCAATTATTCATCTCAATATCTTTCCTATTTGATAAGATCTGAAGAAATAGAATCTTTGTGTGTATTCCTAATGGAAATGATTTGATGATGCTTTTCTTACTATATATTAATAAGCATCTCCAAATGTTCTCAATAGAGATTTCTATTCCTAAGTTTCATTGGACAGTACCTATTTCCCCACATGGCACTTTTGCTCATCTGATGGGCTGAGAAAGAACATCATTTCAGTTAGGAATTTCATTTCTCCTAAAAAGAGTGAGATTATGGACGTGCTCTGATCTTCTGCCATGTTTGCTCTTGTCTTGCATCTGTATCTTTATGTGTTAAGGGTCTTTGCCCACTGTCTATGACTTCCAAATGCTCTCCTGGTCTATCTTTGCTCTTTCCATGTATAACTTTTGTAAAATGGAGGAACATTAATATTAACCCTCAATTAACTAATCTAACTTCTGTTTCTGTTTCTGTTTTTGTATTCTATAAGTTTTCAGAGTTTAGTGAAGGGCAAAAGATGTGTTTGTTTTCCTCACCTACTCTAAGGGCCACAGCTAATACCACATTAACCAAAGACAGGAGAACCAGCAAGGAACAACGCGTTCATTTAGCAGCCTACGCCCCTCCCTCTACCCTCACCCATTCACATTTGGGATCTCATTGAAGTATTGGTCTCTATTTGATATCCAGAGCTTATGAAACCTTTAAGAGATGAAGTCAAGAAGAAGGAACCTAGGTTATTAAGTTTGAGCCCTTGAAGGCTATACTGGGATCCTGGCCTTTCTCCTTTTGTTGCTGACTACTCATCATGAGGAAAGTGTTCTTGGCCATATGCTTCCACTGTGACACAACAGCTCACTAGCAACTGGCCCCATATACTAAAGCTCTAAAACCATAAAGCAAAATATACTTTTCTCTCTTTAAGTTGTTTGTCTCAAGCATTTTGTCACAGTAATGCAACTTCTACATGTCACCCAACTACCTACCCATTTAGCCACCTATCCATGCATCTAAGAGAAAAGATGTGTTTCCATGACAATTATGATGGCTTAACCAGAACCCTTCTTCCCTTAGTAAATTTCATTCACATATGTGTACCTTGTCCACCCAGGCCTGTTCTTGAAGAAGCTAAATCCAAAGAGTCAGTGATTGATTAAGGCTAAATTAGTAATCAGCAGACTCTCCTGTCTGGCTACAAGAATTGTTTCAGAAATGGATGAGCAATTCCTTTCAGGAGTGGAAGAGAAGAAAATTGGCTAAAACTAGACTGTAAGATGAAGGAGCAACCAAACCAGTATCTGATTTAACTTAAGGCCCACTCCAGGAGATGGAACCCACACCCATTTGCTGGGGTGACCAAAAACTTGAGATTATTAAATAGCCCAGATACCTAGGAGAAATCCAAATACTATTGTTCCAAAAACAAACACAAACAACAAAAACAAAGCAGTAAAATGACTCCTAAGGACATTCTGCTATATTCATAGATCAGTGTTTTCCTCAGCCTTCATCAGAGAAGCTTCCTCCTGCAGTACATGGGAACAGATATGAGGATCCACAGCCATCTATTATGCAGAGAGTGAGACATCTTGGAATGCTTTGCCCTGAAAGGGTTGTCTCCATTAAACTCTTCCCCTCAGGGCTCAGGGCTCAGGGACCTTTGCAGAAGAGGAGGCAAAAAGAGTGCTAAGAGCCAGAGGGGATGGAGGACAGCAGAAAAACAAGGCCATTGAAATCAACATGATCAAAATTTATATGAACTCCGAGACTGAAGCAGCATGGACAGACTAAGCCTGCATGGATCTGTACCAGGTCCTCTGCATTTTAATCCTCTATGGATTCACATTTAGTGCTTTTGTGGGGCTCCTGAGTGTGTGAACAAGTGGGTTTCTCTTTCTTGCATCTTCTCTTAGTCTCTTTCCTTCTGTTTGTTGGCTTTGTTCAATTCTGATGTGTTCCCTTTTAGTTTTATCTTTTTATGTAAAAAAACTAATTGTCTTGGTACTTTCTTTTTTTTTTCACAGACAATGTATAAAAACGTTTTTTTTTCAAGAGCGCTGAAGATATACAATACACACAACTGGAGGTTTTTACATCATTCATAGTAGAGGTTCGTTAGGCCTTAAGACGCCCCGCTCAGCCCGTGATCCTGCTGCAAAACGGGCATCACATTCTCAGACCACTGCTTGCAACAGGCATGCCACAGAAGATGGCCATGTCGTGGAAAACCCACTAGTGGCACACAGTAGAGTGGTACCTAGCAATCTGCCAGCCCCAGACAGCAGGTTTGGGTCCCTGATGTTTAAGCCATGGCCAACAAAAGCAATCCACAGTGAGGAGAGACCTGGTTCCTTACCCTTCTATAGTCAGCCCAGGCTTCCTGAGAAGTCTCTGGAGGGAGCCAATGCTAGGAGCACTGAAGAGGCAGAAGGCAGTGTCTACAAAAGCCCATGACTGCAGTACTTCCTGCTGAGCTGATACCCCATCTGCACTAATAAGGTGAGCTTTCCCTGGGACAGCTCTAGAGCTTAGCTGGGCATAGTAAACACAAAATACTAAACAAGTGGGGCTACACAGAGAACCCCAGTCTCAAACAAAATGAAAATACCTAGTCATGTTACACAGGTAAAATACTCCTTTATCACATACAGAACACACTGAAATACAGCATCCCCTCTGAACACAGAACAGCAGGCCCTGGCTTTCTGTAAGCTCTCAACAGAACATAGACCATGGCCTTGAAAAAGTTCCTCCTCCTCCAGGTGGTGGTGGTACACACCTTTAATCCCAGCACTTGGGAGGCAGAGGCAGGTAGATCTCTGACTTCAAGGCCAGCCTGGTCTACAGAGAGAGTTCTGGAACAGCTAAGGCTGAGAGACACTCTCTCTCAAAAAACTAAAACAAAAAGACAGTTCCTTCTCTAGAAGGAAAAAGGGGGCCCGGGGGAGAGACAGAGACAGTGTACATGTAAAACCCGATTCCATAGGACTTAGCATCATTTGAAACTATACATCCCTTGGCTTACAGCCGGGGTTTGGTTTCTTTGGTCCAGTAGACCTAGTTCTGGGGGTATGCACCACTCAGTCCACCTCCATCTTCTTACTCTGGAGAGAATCGATGAAGGCTTGCCATTCCGTTGGGTAAAAGCGTTTATAGACATTGATCTTATTCCGAATCTGTTTTGGGGTGTCTTGATAGTAATTCTTCTCATCCCGGGCCATGGCCTTATAGTCCTCCCCGTGATTCTCCACCATGTACTGAACATAGTCGATGAGGTCCCGAGACAAGGTATTTTCTTTCTTCTCTGGGAGGCTGGCTTCTGCCTCCAGGTCATTTACTACATAGGGCTTCCATACAAGATCCTTGGGTCTCTCCTCCATGTCCACCTCCATGGCCTTCACCTTCCTCTTACGGAGTGGAACCGCCTTGTTGGGGTCCATGGCCAACCCCATCTCCACCAGGTTCTGCCGCACGGATTTGGTGTGGTCCCAGGCATGTCGGATGTGGGAGCACTCGATCCGTGGCGCTGCCTTCCCACGAGCATTCCGGTTCAGACGCTTTCAGTTGACGTTGTAACCGAACTTCTGCCTCCGAGTCTTTCCCTTAGCCTTGGGCATCTCGCAAACTTCTGCACCAGCAACTCAAACCCCAAATCACGCTCTCAGAGCCGCGTGTTAATAGTCTCCATACCCCAGTGCACGCCGTCTTGGTACTTTCTAATTGATAAGGATTTGGCAAATGTTTTATTGAATTAACAATGCTTTCAAGAGCATGCCATTAAACTCACCACACTTCTTTTCTCTGCAATTTCTATCGGCTTATGGTGATGTTAGCATTTGGGCCCAATCTGCATGAGGTCACGTATGAAAGCAAAACTGTTCCTTTCAAAGACTGTAAGCCTATAACTGGAACAAGCAAAATGTTTACCAAATTGGGTAAATATAATATTCTACTACCAGGATTCAATAAGTTACTTTGCAGAAGTGTTTTATAGTGTAGAGGTATAAGTCATGCAATGTCAGAATTAGTGCATAGTGCTGGCAAATGAGAACAATCTCGAGAGTTAGTAGCCCTTAGTTCAGAGGACAGAGTAAGTTAGTTATAATTCATCTATAGTATTAATCCATAGTACAGTAAGTAAGTTAGTTATACAAGGTTTTGTATAAGAAAGCTATAAGCTAAAGCTAAGCATGCCACTACAGTTGGCTTAGGAGAGGGTATGGATCTGGTGGAAAGGTTTCTTTTCATTTAAATTAAGTATTAATCTTTTGATGTGACAGACCATCTAAAGATGCTCTAAGACGCCAGAGATGTAATGGGAAGGGAAGATGAATAGCCTGGGATTGTTCCTCAGCTTCTAATCATTATTCTTGTTAGGAGCTATGGTCTTGAGCTGGGCACAGGTTTCCCTCGCAGTCACTGTTTTCCCAACCTTCAGCAGGAAGGTGAAGTGTTTCTCTTCTTAGTGTACAGCATCATGTAATCTGATGGTTGCAAAGCTAGAACAGACAACCTGGGCCTCCTCTGTGCTTCTCATAGCATGGGCTGCTGTGCCATGATTAGAAGTTCAAGTGCTTGCTGCAAGTGAATTGTATGTAAAGACCTGAGAGGATAAGCAAGAGGCCATCAGATGTTATCTAGAGCCACTGAGGCAGGAGCCCGAGGTCAATGCTGGGATCTATAAGGTGTTCAGGTGACTTAAATTCTCACCAGCAATTAAGAAAAGTGATGGGTACAACTAGTCAAATATGTTGGATCAGATCTGTAATGTTAAAGAAACAGAGGTGAGCACCAGTCAGAAAGTGCCGACATGGTGAATAATAACGGGGTGTGGCGTGTGGGGATGCAGGAGGCAGAGCATTCTTGATTTCAGTTTTGAACACCCATGGTTGTTTTCTTACTATGAGCACTCAATGAACCAGAAGAAGTCTGCACATTCACACACCACATGTTCATTTGCCACAGACAGTTCTGACCAGTGTTCTGAGAGATGCCAAATGATTTTCCAAGCATAGAGAAAATCTCCCCAAACAGTCAAAGGATGTGCATTGATTAGAATGAGGCAAACTTCTACCTAGACCCTAGAATGTTTCTACTGAAAAGCCCTGCTCCCTTAGGGTGTCCCTTCTCAAATAGTCCTAGAAGGTCAGTTTCTCCCATCTGCCTTTCTCTTTATCTCACCATACTTGGACCCAAGAGCTTGGTTTTAATTTTTCTCAGGTTTTCTCTTTAAAAGTCATGGATAGATTCTTTCAAAATACCAGAATATGAGTTTTTCTGTTATGTAAAAAAAAAAACTGAAAGTATATGTATTTGATTTGATTTTTTTCCCTTGAAGTCTGACATTTAATACCTGAAGAAGTACTCCATCAAGTTGGCTCAGTGGGCAAAGGTACTTCCTGCTAACCCAGAGGACTGATCCTCCAACACACATGGTAGAAAGAGAGAACCAAATCCTATACATTGTCTTTATCCATCACACAGACACACACACAGACACACACACACAGACACACATACACATCTGTGCACACATATTTGTGTGTGTGTATGTATGAGTACAGTAAATTAATTCATCACTTAACATTAAGACCTCACATCCTTAGTCAGCGTCAGTACTAGACCAGTGGAGGATGACTTCCTGTCTATTGGGAAGCATCCTGTTCTAAGTATTTGGTGTTTTTCTCTAGGAGTGTTAATACTGAAAACTACAGAAAAAGAAAATTTTTTTTTTTACCTCCACAGAGCCTCTCAGTCACCCTCCCCACAGTAGTTAACAATGTCAGATGTTGTTTGTGTCTTCAAAACAATCTTCTATAAGCATGTTTCTTTTGTGTTGAATGAGTCACAAATCAAGCCTTTCCTACTCTCAGAATAGCAGTTTTCCCTGTACTAGCCAGACTGAAGGTACACATGAATGCAATAACATGTTTGCTGCACCCAGCTCTCTTCAGGGTGGAGAGTCTGTGGTGCTGGAAGTTGCAGAACAATATGCCTCCTTCCTTGGGCCTGGAATGCCAGCCCCACCCAACAGCAGCCCTGCTTGTCATGGGGAGGCTCCAGAGCTGGGGACTTGGCAGCTTTGCCCATGCAAGCAGTCAACTTAGAAGAGTGGCTTTTGGCTTAGCTTCAATGAAAGAGAGGTCTTTGTTGTGCTCACAAGGAAACTGGCAATGTTCTTTCATAGGTGTTAGGGTTTTAAGGGGAGGAGACAGTGACATTAAATTTACAACAGTTACTTTGCAAACTCTTCAGGTCCATAGGCATGGCCCTATGTCTGACACAAGATGAGTTTAGGACAAGAAATGCATTAATTTCACAAGGCGTTGCTTTAGCATTGTTCCCTAGTGTTAGCTTATTTACCTACGATATGGACAGGTTTCACTTTTAAGGCATTATAACAGGTCTAACCCTGGATGGGTCATTTTCATTTCTTAATACCTTAGATATTCTCTGGAATTTAGAGAATCTTTCTTGGTGAGATCTGTCTAACTCTCTCTCTCTCTCTCTCTCTCTCTCTCTCTCTCTCTCTCACACACACACACACACACACACACACACACAAACACATGTGTGCACACACACATACATATAACACATACACAATAATTTTCAGCTCTGGGAAATGCATCTCTATACATCTTAATGGAGAAATATTAGATATCATTTTTGTGATAGTTTGGCAAAAGGAAACTAAGGAGTTATAAAGGGAGATATGAACTACATTATTGTATTCTGAGGTTTGATCCACAGACATTCAAATTACTGTTAGAGATTTCCACTGGTCTTTTGAATATTCCACCTAGCCTTCACCCCACCTCCGCCCCACCTCACTCCCGCCAGAGAATTTGGTATTTCTGTCTGCAGCTGAATTTTCAGTTACTTTGCCTCTCACATCTGCCTCCAGCTAGGACTACGCCTAACACATTGCTGCCACATTTCAAAACAGAACTGTCTGTGCCTGAAAACACAGGCATTGCGAGCTGCCTGCACACTCTGGATGGATGTTACACAGTGGAACCAGCTCTTACCAAACCATATCATGCAGTGCACAGACCTCAGGCGTCTCTCCCATAGAGACTCATCTCCCAGCTATTCCACACTGGCAAACCGCCCACAGTCACCACACAGCCAGCATCAGTGTGTGTTTGCTGCCTCTTAGTAGCCCACAGATAAGGTTTCTTACATTTTAAACACTGGATAATGAACAAAGGGACAAGACCAAGGCCATTTTTTTTCTTGGAATTTTTATAAATGGAGATGAGACCTTGATTGTACATGTCACTTACTGTATGACATTTGATACGATGGTCTTCTGCAGTGTAGATGTCAACAGTTCTCCTACACCTAAGGACAATATTTTCTAAGATTGTCACAGCTCAGGCAAAGTTTACATATTGTCCATTCTCTGCCCATCTGTCATTCCCATAGTTGTACCCTCTCAATTTAACCTCCAGTCTTCTGGGAACACAGAAAGCAAATGTCAACGCTTCTCAGAGTGATTGGAAAGTGAGCATATAAACCTTCTACTCAAGATCTTTCTACAGTGTTGGACACTATCCTGTTCCTTCCCCTTCTTAGAAGCCACTGTCACCCTTTTGATTTTGTGGATTATCTCCTTTCTGGCTAGCTGCTGGGTCAAAGGGCCGTAACATGTTTTCTAATACCACAGAGCCACAGTAGTAAGAACTGAGAACAGAGAAATCCCTACCTCCTGGCCCTCAGCCAATCAGCTATATTGTGGATCTACATGACTGATTCACAAAACAAAATTCATATTCCATCTGGCAAGCTGGCTCAGTAAGTTAAGACACTATCTGGAGAAGACACACATGGTGAAAAAAAGAACCAGTGCTCATAAACTGTCCTTTGACTTCTATATGCATATATATATATGCATATGCATATGCATACATACCTACATACACGCATATGTGTGTGTGTGTGTGTGTGTGTGTGTATTACAAGGAATTGATATCCTAAAATAAGTCCATATTGATTCAAAATGCAGTTCTCCGGGGGTGAGACTACCAATAATTAGATTACATGTGGGTAAACAGGTGGGTACTGAGCTGAGCTCCTCCACGGGAGGATCTACTGTCTCCAGGTAAAATTTTAGCGGACACACTATCATCCAAGCCCCATGGCCTAGCAACTGGTTACAGAGAACTAATAATCTTAAAAGTTTGAGTTGATGATTTTGTTGAATGACTTTCCCTTAATATTAAATCCCTATGAATCTCAAGGAAAATTTAATCCATATGTTTCTGATTTGATTACTCTTAACTCATTAAGTGCTTTAAAAAGCTATTTGAAATTTGAGAAGTTGTTCTTTATGGGTTTTAGCAACCCTTTGTTCTCTGAATTAGGAAGGAGAGTTCTGCCAAGACTTAATGGTATTTGAACCTCTGTCTGCTTAAGAGGATTCTACACTCAACAAAGCATCCACCATTCTGTCACAGCCAATGCCTCTCAAACTCTCACTGTATCTGCCCTGTGCCCCTCCTTATGCTTGCTTAATGACATTGGAGATTCTCTATTACTCACATGGCAACAACCTTTGTGTGCCAAATGACCATTACCATGAAAATTGGTAACACCCAGGAGTGGAATAAAAATTCAAGCTATGACTTACTTCTGC